GACATGTTCCATTTCTCAACTTAGTTCACACCTCAAATGTTTCAGACGGTTGTAGATAATCACATACGAAAGTCCCCATCAACCAAGGAACAAAAACTCGTCGCGGAAATGGAAGATTGCATATTTTCCTTGCTTCAATAGAAGAGTGAACCCTATCAGTACGGTACCTCATGCATGGAAACTGAGGCAAGAGATAAATCATGAATTTTCCATGATCTAGAATAAATGTCAATAGCAATCCAAAAGATGAAAAGATACTATTGACAAGACATCTAAGCAAACACATGGCCTAAACCTTTTTGAGTTTTTCTTTATGTTTTCAATAATGCAAACTAAAATAAACTACAGTCATCCTTCTTACAGAACACAAAAATTACAATCATTAAATGTGTGAACTATGGTATCGATCATAACTTTATCAAATTTATCATATGACTATTATTATAAATCTTGATATTTTTAATGTCAAGATATCTTGATTATCCCTTCTCCCTATTTCATTTCTCCGTCGAAGTTCTCTTAAATTCATGGTAATAACTATCCTGCGATGGATGCGATGGGTAGCAATCCAATTAAAAATAGCCACATATTGTTTCTATCAAGTCAACGTCTAGTTAATTATTGCATACTAACCAGAAGAGTTTGCACTCTCTTCGCAGCTTTGCTAATTGCCAGCTTCGGTCAATGGTTTTTGTTGACAGAAGGTGAGCTTGATTTTTCAGGAACTCATTTATAACATTTAGACATCCTTCATTTTCTAACGCTCGGTTTTCTCCTCGTGTTCTGCAGTATGATGCGATCAGATTCTGCAAAGACTAACTACCCTGGAAAAATCCCGTACGGGCTGGATCTTCCTAGTGATGTTGCCGATCGGAAGCTTCCTGATGGAGTTACCAAGTGAAAATGCAGTCTGGATAAGGCGTAGGATGGGGCAAAAGACAAGGCTAAATGGCTCATCAAACATGAGAAACATGAATTTGGAATGTTCAAAAGGCCCATAAATTTTTCCTGATCAAAGGTTAACAAAACATCACTAACTGATTGGCAACTCAGATCTGTTATACCATGGGCCCATGGCAGACACTGATTGAAAATTGTTCAGTAATGAGTTTATTTCTATCATTTGGTTTACCATTTTCAATACTTGTAATCAATGGAAAAAATGGAAGAAGGAAAAAGGGAAAGGAAATGAGAAATCATAAATATCTTTTTCAGTCCCCACGAAGAATACGAAAATATTTATATATATATATATACAACGTATTTTCATGAGTGAATTTGCCTACAGGTAGGGAAAACGCCAACGTTTTAAAAGCGTGACAAAATGTTCATGGGTCCATATGCTACCGTTTGTGAGCGCGAACCAAGCCATCATTGTTGAAAAGATTTTGTTGGCAAAAATGCTTCTTAAAGCCTCAAATTTATCTTAAAATAACATTTAAATCTTTAAATTAAAAATGAAACAGATAAACCCTCCAACTTTCTAACGATGCAAATAAACCCTTTTCACAAATGGTCAAACGTTATTTCATGTTTAATATCACCTTGAAAGCATGAACATTCATGAATGAAAAGGATTTATCAGCATCATTAGTGAAAGTTGAAAGGTTTATCTACTTTATTATTAGTTTAGAGGTTTAAATGCTATTTTAAAATAAATTTA